CTGCTGGCCAACGCTGCATGGCTCTTTCAACAGCCATCCTTGTAGGAGAAGCTAAGAAGTGGCTGCCAGAGCTGGTGGAGCGTGCCAAAAATCTGCGAGTCAATGCAGGTAACCAGTCACCTGCCAGGTAACTAGACTTTGCTTCCCTGGCACTAACTTCTTAGATCTGGCATTGGCTTTGCCCAGGGGAGCCGTTCTGTACTCTTCTACTGCTGCCTCTCTTGAACTCTACTTGTCATTCAGAGCTATTTCAGCAAATTTTTTGTTAATATCAACCTTGGACCCTTCTGCTTGTTCTATAGGAGACCAGCCCGGAGCTGATCTTGGCCCTCTCATCACCCCCCAGGCCAAAGAGCGAGTCTGCCGTCTGATTGACAGTGGAACAAAAGAGGGGGCTTCCATCCTTTTGGATGGGCGAAAAATTAAAGTCAAAGGCTATGAAAATGGTAACTTTGTTGGCCCAACCATCATCTCCAATGTCAAGGTAAACAACTCTGGATTATTTCACAAATTCCAAAGCTGAGAACACCTTAGAGGTGAAGACTATAACTCTTGCCAGGATTGCTCAGTTATTCTGTCTGAAAGCTAAATAAGTCTCCCTGACTTCCAACCAGAGCTCTTTACAATGGATGGCACATGTCCTGGTTTGCTTTCTATTGCTGTGATAAAACATGACTAAAAACCACCTAGGGGAAGCCAGGATGTATCTCTTTTTGTTCCAATCACATGCCAGTCTGATGGAGGTAATTCCTCAATTAGGGTTCCCTTATCCCAGCTGACTGGAATATGTCAAGATGACACAAAACCAATCAGTATGGCAGACTCTCCCTGGAAGATGAAATATCCTCAGCCTTGCGAAAAGGAGTCTGTCACAGTTATTCTGGTGCACAGTACAAATCAACCACAAGTTTGTGGCTGTGTTCCAGTAAAATTTTATTTATGGACATACACTTGGACTTTATAATTTTATGTCATGAAATAGTCTTCTGAATTTCTTCCTAACCATTAAAGAAAAGGTAAAAACTATTCTTAGCTTGTGGGCTGTATAAGAACAAGCAGCTGCCACATCTGGCCTACAGGCAGTAGTTAAAACCCTTTGTGTTACATTTCCCTTCCCCACTTGCTCATAGCTACCGTAGTGCCCCATTCAATATATTAACTACCTAGGATTTATAGACTATCTTACCCCATGCCCAAAAGTTAATTTCATCTTTACTAAAATGAAAAAAAGAGATCATCAATCAATTTTATATGTCAAAGTTTGAAAGTCTCTCAGCTAACATTTATGATGAAATTGAGCTTCATCAAAAAAAAAAAAAAAACAGGCTTTTTGTTGTATATCCTCACTAACCCTGAAAGATCACAGGTTGAAGTTCCTTGCCACAGAACAGCAGAGGAAAAACTTATTGGCAACACACACAGTTGGCTAGATATAATGGTGAAGGCTGTTTTGAATGTTTAACTAGAAACCCAGGATCAAAATTGGAGACTTATTTGAAAGCAAAGGAATGAGTTTGAGAATGGGTGTTTGGTTACAGAGCACTCAGCAAGGAGTTTCTAGAAAAGTTCTGGTGTACTTAATATATGTTTGTTCATAAAAATGACTTTTCATGTAACTTTCATTAACAACGTATGAAAAAAGTTGTACAAGTATTAAAAAGGAAGCTAGTAATGGGTCTTGAACTTGAAATAGGGCACTGAACAGCAAAGAATGCAAGAATTCCAAGATATTTATATGATGGGAGTGCCAAAAGTTTCTGCCTTTTGAACAGAAGTAAGAGAAGATGGAAGATTACTAGCCCGAAAGCTGCTTGTGGAGTCAGGGTGCCAAAAATGCAAAAGTACTCAATTTAAAAGGCTGACTTCTTTCTGGATCCATCTCTCCTGACAGCCAAGTATGACCTGTTACAAAGAGGAGATTTTTGGCCCAGTTCTTGTGGTTTTGGAGACAGACACACTGGATGAAGCCATCAAGATTGTAAATGACAACCCATATGGAAATGGAACTGCCATCTTCACCACCAATGGAGCCACTGCACGGAAATATTCTCACATGGTGGATGTCGGACAGGTTTGTGAATGGAGTCTTTGAAGATTCTTATAACTAAGAGGACAAAACAGTACACAGTGATCAGTCAGCTGCAACTTGTTTGAAGACTGCACCTTTAATTGCCCATAATTCCCCATCCTTTCCTCAGTAATAAAAATTCTTAGGGTGAAGCACAGGGTGCAAAGATGACTACTCAAAAATTGCTACTTCTAAAAAAACCAAACCAAGCAAAATCTAAAATCCAAAGAGAAAATAAAATTGGTCTCTGTAGTCTTTGTGCTTCTATATGGACTCTCTGTGGGTTGAGCTGTGATCAGTACTTGATGTACATTTGTTCTCTTTAGGTGGGCGTGAATGTCCCCATTCCAGTGCCTTTGCCAATGTTTTCTTTCACTGGCTCTCGATCTTCCTTCAGGGGAGACACCAATTTCTACGGCAAACAGGTAACTTTTGAGTTGGAATTTTCTTTTCCTTTGAGAAACTTTCTTGAACATCTTCAGAGCAAGATTACATAAGGAAGGACCGGCTGGCAGCTGCTGTGGCATCATCTTTTCTGCTCTGTTTCATAGGCCCCTAAAAAAAGATTTAAAAGTTAACAAAATTTTGCCAACCCTCTTCATGAGTAACTCAAGGCAGTAGGTTCAGAGAAAAGAGTATAAGGAAATCCAAACCTCTGTATAGATCATCTCCTTTTTCTGTGACCCTCTGTCATCTGAATGACATCTGACCTCTGACCATTTAGCATGTCTTGGCTTAAAGATCCTCGAGCTTATTCTTATACAATAAATTATCCATATATTAAGTGGGGTGGGATTAAACATAGGTCTTGAATCTGTACACTATTTTAGGTTTGCCACTAAAGTGATTATAGTACATTATCACTGACTACTAGAAATAGAAATTGCTTAATACCAGTAACTTTACCATGTTACTTCAGTTTCTCCTCATAACATCAATAAAAGGTATTTGTAGTATAAACATTATCACAGACAGGGCTCAAGAGTTAGCCATAGTAAAGGGTAGAAGCAGGATTTGAGCAAAGTCTGTTGACCTTGCTTCTTAGCTTGGAAATAGAGTGGCCTGAAAAGTTAACAAGATTACATCACTTAGTTTTCTGCTTTGATACCCTTATGCTTAAAATTCTAGCTTTAGTATATTAATGATGTCTAAGGTTTGACTGTTTAGTGTGTGGCAGATATTATGTCAAGTGTTTTTATTATTTAATTCTTTGTGTGAGAGATGGGAAGGGCTATCCATTCGGAGGTCAGAAGACAACCTTGGATGTCGACCCTTGCCATCTTGACTCCTTGTTGTTTGCCAGACTAGCTGGCCCTTGAGCTTGCAGAGAGCCTCCCATCTCACCACACAGAATTATTGAAGCTTGCTACTGCACCTGACTTTTAAAGGTTCTGAGAATCTGAACTCAGGTCCTAATGTGGCAACTGCTTTACCCACAAAGACATCTCCCCAGATTTATTTTTTTGGAGACATGGTCTTATATATCCTAAGATGGTCTCCAACTCACTGTTGTAGTTAAGGATGACCTTGAACTTCTGATCCTCCTGCCTCTACCTCTTGGATCTTAGAATTATAGTTATGTCATACCATGCCTGGTTTATTCCATGTTGGAGATTGAATCCAGGGCTTCATGCATATTAAACAAGCATTCTACCAATTGAGCTATATCCCAGCCCCATAAATGTGGTTTTATTTGGGAGAGGGTTGTTTTAATTTTATACACACACACACACACACATATATATATGTATACGTATGTATGTATGTATTTTGCCCACATACATGTCTGTGTACTGTGTGTGTAACTGATTCTCACAGAGGCCAGAAGAGGGTGTTGGATTCCCCTGGAACTGGAGTTACAGTGGGTACTGGGAATGAAACCTGGGTCCTTTGCAAGAGCGGAGTTGCTATTAATAGCTGAGCATCTCTCCACACCCCCATAACTGTTTTAAGTAGACTGTCTCATGAACATTGGATTTTGTTGCACCAATCACTCAAATAGGAGCCTGAGTATGTTAGCATCACCTTCAAAATTAATTTGAAGTTATATACTCCTAGAAGTATACACTGACTTTTTTTTTTTTTTTGTCCTTTTTAGGGCATCCAGTTTTACACTCAGCTAAAGACTATCACATCTCAGTGGAAAGAAGAGGATGCTACTCTTTCCTCACCTGCTGTAGTCATGCCTACCATGGGGCGTTAGAAGCAAGTTCTTCAAGACTCAATACAATCTGAGTCATTTCCCGTCATTCTTGGCCACCTTCACTTGCCATCTTTGCTCAAATCAGATCCATGATAATGGAATATGATGCAACTAAACTCTTTCTTAGAACTGCTAGTCCCTTCAAAGTAATAGGGAGACGGCAGGGAAACACCAGTGCTGTCTGCACTTGCTCTCTGTACTTCTGTTCTGGAGGTAACTTGTAATTGTGAAATGCTTACCTGGAGTGAGAGCTGAGAACTGTCTTCTAACAGTTCTTCTGATGACTTGGAAAGGAATGCCAGTGTAGGGACAGAGTTCCCAATAATTGGAAGAACTCTTGGATAGGGAAATAGGAAGTAACAGTTCACCCTCAGGTTGAGCCTCAAACACAGCCCTCCATCGATTCTCACACTTTATGTTCTCTCATCCCAACATTGTGACAACTGCTGCTTCTCTGCTCAATGCCACTTTCTTCTTGTTTTGATTCATAACCACTTAATTCTATCATTGTCCATATTCTTTTCTTAAAATACTTCTCAAAGATACCTCAGGACGCAAACAATATGTTAGCTTTTTGTTATGTGTGCCATGTTTCATGGTTCGCTTCAGCAATCATTATCAATACTCTAGCCATTAATACAGATGCAAATAAATCCTTAGAAAAATTATATTGCAAGTTATTTTTTACCCAGAAATCAAAGAATGTTCCAATCATGAAAGTGGGTAAGATTCTTTGCCTTAAAAAAGCCTAACCTATTTTTTTTTTTTTTTGGTTTTTTCGAGACAGGGTTTCTCTGTGCCTAACCTATTTTTTATTTGCCAAATTTTGTGTTATTCTTTCTTTTGCCAGCATTTCTCATTAGTTGATACTTTTTAATGAAAGATCTTTTCAGATAGAATAATCGATTGGGCTACAAGAAACTTACAAGTTTCCCTGCTTTGACAGTACTTGGCCATCACTTCTTCAACTGTCTTTCAACTTGCCTCTCTGATAATCTAAACCTTAAGTCAGAAGAGGCTTCTGTGCTGAATAGAGTAGTTTCTGGCTGTCTGACCTGTCTGAAGCCCAGCTTTCTGAACTAGACGGCTGCTTGCTCTGCTAGCTTAATCCTCAGTGCTGAGTGAGCTGTGGTACCGATCATTTATTTTCCTCTGTTCTGTACAGTCACGTGGACAGTGCTGCTCTGGTCCACCGGGTTATTTGGTGAGTTAAAATAAAGGTGGTGAAAAACCTTGAAAATTCCTACTCTGTGGGCATAAGATTATTAGGGTATCCTCATCTGGTAGAATTCAGAACCTTCAATCATTTTAACAAAATACAACTCAGATTTTTTGTTTTCCATCCTAAAGTCAAGTAGAAACTTGTAGTTTGTGATTATAACACCCTGTGTTTTCTTATAAAACATAGTTCATACCTAATTCAATCCAACAACTTTGGGCTGGGTTGAAAAGTGGTTATTATCTAAATTCCAAACAGAATTTAATTACAAAAAAATCTAATTATTTTCATTATATATAAAGGACAGTGCTTTTAAAAACTGCCGACTAATCAAAATTGTGTTACTTTAATTAGAATCAACTGATTTGGGCAGCTACTTATGCTCAAAGAGTTTGTTTCTTAGATGAAATCTACAGTTCTATTCAGGTTAGTATCACTAAAACAGAGAACCAGCATTTTCCTTTTTATTCTTTTATGATCTCATTTGAGTTTTGTCAGATTATGTACTGATTATGAATAACCAAGTACAAATAAAAAGTCCTTAAGAAAAAAAAAAGCCCTTGGGAAAAAATGGTCTTTTTCTTCCTTTGTTCTCCAGATTACAGTGATTTCTGTGTCTGGTATATGCCCAAAGCCAAGAACTGCAAGGATATTCTGTCTGTGCTCCTATAAAGACAGGAGGGCTGAGGGTTAGCTCCACAGGGAGGCACAAAGCTTCATTCACCAGCACTGAAAACAGTAATGCAATACACATTTTGACTAAGCCGCCTATTTCAGAAAGAAATCTATAGGTTCTTCAGGTACATATAATATGCCTTATTAGTATGGACATTGTTATAAAAGTTTCTATGGTCTCTTCCTTAAGAGCTGCTTGGGTAGTAGAGAACTGTGAACTAGCCAGACATCTTATAGTGAAAGGTAACAATGGTCTGATTAGATAGCAGATTCCTTACTCTGTCAAAGTCCTGTAATCCTTTAGAAATAACACCAGGTGACATCGTTTTATTGGAGTCTGATACTGGAGCTTGCTGGGTGATGAAGGTTTGATCTGGAAGGTTAATTTCATCCCTACAATGACAAAATAGTGCTGTCAACAGTCATACATGGAATTTGGTTCAGAACAACAGACTTGCTAAATCATTCTCACTTAACTCCAGCTATAAAATATCCACAAGGGACACTGAGATCAGGCTTTTGTTCATAACTCTGGCAGGAGAACTCTTACCCAGTTTCTTTCATTTCTTCACTGTGTGGAATAATATGGTCTGGAACAGGAGGCTTAGAGCTCTGCTTGTATTTCCTGTGATGGATAAACATCAATAAACAAATGAGGCATGTCTTCTTGTGCCCTTCCTATTTCAATACCCTTAAAATGAGTCAAATTTCAGTTAGATAAGGTTTCCATTTTAAGAATGAGTTTTATACACACAATATATATATATATATATATGCACACATATAAATAAAACAAATATATAAAAATACATATAAATAAATATATATAAGCAAACATACAGTTTATTTTGGTTTTGGTTTTTTGTTTGTTTTTGTTTTTTTAAGACAGGGTTTCTCTGTGTAACAGCTCTTGCTGTCCTAGAACTCTATAAACCAAGCTGGCCTTGAACTCAGAGATCTACCTGCCTCTGCTTCCCAAGTGCTGGAATTAAAGGCATGCGCCACCATTGCCTGGCTAAAATGTGATATATTAAGTAATGGAATATAATAGCTTAGAGTTAAGACATGTTGAATTCCAGAAACAAATATCTATGGAGAGAACCATAATGGAGGTCCTCATGTCATGTCATGGACAGTGAGTAATGACTAACAGCGAGGCTGAATGAGAGAACTGATCAAACACCCAGGACGTTCCCTTCCCACAGTGGATCCGTGGGTAAAAGTACTTGCTGCAAAAGCAAGAAGACATGAGTTCAAATCTAGCATTTGGAGGAGGATACAGGTAGATCCTGGGAACTAAACAACAAAAAAGAATTTATGTCAAGTGAATGGTTTTCGGTTGTTCTGAGATAGGGAGAGTGGCTTCCAGTTCAACATGAACCTAAGGATGAACTGAACTCCTGATCCTCCTTCTTCAACCTCTGGAGATAAGAGGCATTATATAGATTGGGGAATCTTGTCTTCATTGTGAAGATCAAGAAAGTTCTGACAAAGGAAAAGCTTGAGCCAATAATACCCAAGTTAACATACAGAAAGGGTAAAGAGCGACTTGAGGGCACATATAAACACAGACACACACAGACCCTCAGGACACAGAAGTTAGCCAGTGGTAACAGGCGCAATATACTTCAGAAAGTGCAGGAATGTAATTGATTCATTATTCTGAATGAGTGAGCTTATAGAGATCAAGTGCTATGGAATAATCCTTCGATACACTATGAAGATATAGTACTCTCATTGGTTAATAAACAACTGACTGGCCAGTAGCCACACAGGAAGTATAGGTGGGACAGCCAAATTGAGAATGCTGGGAGAAAGAAAGGTAGAGTCAGTGGAGTCACCAGGAGACACAGAGAGAGCAAGACATGCTGAGGACAGGTAAAGCCACAAGCCACATGGAAATACATAGATTAATAGAAATGGGTTAATTTAAGTTGTAAGAACTAGTTAATAATAAGCCTGAGCCATCGGCCAAGCATTCATAATTTATATTAAGTCTCTTGTGGTTATTTGGGGGCACCTGCCAGGATACAGGAAAACTCCCCCTACAATAAAGAATATCATATGTTGACTTCTCAAGAAAGTCACAAACGCCACTCCTAAACTTGACTTATGCAAGTGTGAAGAAAATAGCATATACATATTCAAATGGTGGCAACAATAAATACTCTAGTAGTTAAATATGAAAGAAATCCTTAGTAAAACACTAATAGTGCCTAAGTGATTGCTAAGTCATTTATTTTAGCTGTTTACTGTTTATACTCTATGTAGGTCAATTACAAAAGACTATTGTTGAATTCACAGTTATAGTCAATTGTGAACTTTTACTAAGTTCTTAATTATTACTATTCTAACTTGAGGTGGAGGCAGATCAGGAGTTCAAGACTAGCCTTGGTGACAAAGTGAGATAGAAGCAACCTGAGCTACATGACACTCTGCTACAAAACAAAAAACATCAGCCTAAAATAATTTGTTCATCTCTGCAAACCAATGTAGGCTCAACAGTTAAGTTTTCCTGAAGGTGGGGCTGGAGAGATGGCTCAGAAGTTGGGAGCACAGGCTGCTCTCCCAGAGATCCTGAGTTCAATTCCCAGCAACTACAAGGTTTTTCACAACCACCTGTAATGAGATCTGGTGCCCTCTTCTGACCTGCAGATGTACATGCAGGCAGAACACTGTACATAATAAATAAGTCTTTGAAAAAAAAAAAGTTTCCCTGAAGGTGCCTGCCATTCAGCCCATCAGTGATCCTTAGGAAGCATCACCTTAAATGTCTGAGATTTATTTTCTCTCTCCCATTTCCACATCTCCTTTAGTTTTTGTGTTTAATCGTTTATCTCCCAGTCTTTGTTTATAAGAGTTGCAACAACTGAGCAAGTAGCTAAAGCCTTTCTGGTTCTTTAATGTATTTCTGTAATTCTCAATAGCAATACAGTCATTGTTCCCATGTGGCTTCTAGGTTTGATAACCTGACATTTCATTACAAGAATGGGAAATTACCTCGCAGCAAAACCATTCATTTTTGCAAAGAGCAATCTTAAGACTTTCTCCTTTTGCTCCCAGGTCAAATCTCTAATATCCACATTGTTTTGAGTACTTGGCCTGAAAAATTAAAAAAAAAAAAAAAGGTGAAAAATGTGACCAAAGAAAACTGACCAGATAGTATATAATGATTTCAAAGCAAACTGACCAGATAATATATAATGATTTCAAAGCCAACTGTGCACATTACAAAATAATAATTTGAAAAGGATCATCAGCACGCTGGCCAATGCAAAATGTTCTATTGTCATGAAGTGAAGTACTGTGATCTGAACTGGCAGGTTACAGTGGGCAGACTACAGTGCTGAAGAGAAACTCTGATACAGTCTAAGCTGCCTCGGACATCCCACTTTCTATGGTAGGAGTAAATCTTTAGATATTTGGAAATTTTGAGACTTTTGGTTAATAGTGATGTAGGGGCATGGATTGAATGCCCTACAATCCATGGAACATTTCTGCATGACAGTAGTTAACTACAAAGAATTATATTTATTTTTTAAAAGTTATATAGTTGTTGTTACCTATTAATTTTGTCTCAAAATAGTAAAGGAATAACATAAAAGGAATTGAAAAAGTATGCTTATTAAAAATGTTTAAACTAGCCTGATGTGGTGGTGCATGCCTGTAGTCCCAGCACTTGGGAGGCAGAAGCAGGTGACCTTTGTGAGTTTGAGGCTAGCCTGGTCTACAGAGACAGTTCCAGGGCAGCCAGGGCTGCATAGAGAGACCCTGTTTCAAGAAAGAAAAAAAAGGCCGGGCGGTGGTGGCGCACGCCTTTAATCCCAGCACTCGGGAGGCAGAGGCAGGCGGATCTCTGTGAGTTCTAGACCAGCCTGGTCTACAGAGCTAGTTCCAGGACAGGCTCCAAAGCCACAGAGAAACCCTGTCTTGAAAAACCAAAATAATAATAATAATAATAATAATAATAATAATAATAATAATAGCCACCTTTACAAATGTCTGTCATGAGAAAAGTGGGGATGGCTGCTAAGAACACACACAGCCTACACACTATGCCAAGCACAGGGACTATGAAGATAAGTCAGTTCCTGTCCTCAAGTAGCTTACTACAAAATCTGTCCAACAGACTGAATCTGCTCTTTTCTAGAGGAAAGAAGACAGGCTGTAGCCCTGGCCAGGAAGTTCTGTCTGTCCTGTGCTAGGACCTACTGAGTTCTCCCTTTTTCTTTTTAAAGGATAAGAAAACAAGGACACGAAAAGACAATATATTACAGTGCCATTAGTACCATTTTTCAGCCTCCATGAGATCCTGGTTCACACTATTGGTGCTGTGCTCTTTGCCATCAAAGGTCCTGATTTTGGGATACTCCGTTCTTCCCTCACATGCTGATCTCATTTTTAAATTGAAAGCAGCTTGTGCTATCTGCTTGTATTGCTTCCTGTTGATGAGAATCTGCTCCTTCACTTGGTATAGAGCATCGAGAAAGAACTGTTCCACTTCTGTCCTCTCGTCCAGGATGTTCTTAGCGAGCTTCTTCACTCGATTCATTTCCCTGTCCTTCATCTCAAGAAGCTGCTGCAGCTTGTCAATTTCTACCTGACCTGCTTGGTTCTCTATAATTGCCTTTTGCTGCAGTTTCAAAACTTCAGCCTCAAACTCTGTGGTCATATAGGTCAGAGCATTCTCCAAGCTTACCACCTTCTTCTGAAGAGTTTGGATTTGTGATTTCTGCTGGGTAAGTTGCATAATCTTTTCCTTAACCAATAGCTCATTGATTTCCTAAAAAACAGAAAGTAAGGTTTTTTTTCTTTAAATATTCTAGAACTTAAAAGTCCCTCAATAATGTTTTTATATTTATTATGTATACAACATTCTGTCTGTGTGTATGCCTGCAGTCCAGAAGAGGGCACCAGACCCCATTGCAGATGGTTGTGAGCCACCATGTGGTTGCTGGGAATTGAACTCAGGACCTTTGGAAGAGCAGGCAATGCTCTTAACCTCTGAGCCATCTCTCCAGCCCCCCTCAATAATTTTTTAAAAATTTATTTATTCATATTTTATGTATGAGTACTCTGCATGTATACCTGCACACAAGAAGAGGGCATTGAGTCCTATTACAGATGGTTGCATGGAACCATGTGGTTGCTGGGAGTTGAACTCAGGACCTCTGGAAGAGGAGCCAGTGCTCTTAACCACTGAGCCATCTCTCCAGCCTCCCTTAATATGTTCTGTTACCTAAGGGGATCTGAGCTTCATGTTAGGCTGAGGCAATTATTTTGATATCTCTGTGGGCAGAAAAACATCTTTAGATCCTTGCCTAGGCTTGTGAAAGCAATCAGCTGATTTTATTAATTAGGAAACTTACAAACTTCCTCTATAATTCCTTTTTCCCTTTTTTTCCTGCCAGAAGAGGGCACCAGATCTCATTAGAGATGATTGTAAGCCACCATGTGGTTGCTGGGAATGGAACTCAGGACCTCTGGAAGAGCAGTGCTCTTAACCACTGAGCCATCTCTTCAGTCCCCCTCTATAATTCTTACAAGGATACATATTATTAAAATCAATAAAATTGTGCAAAACCACTGGAAAGTCTATAAAGAAAACTGTAGCAGATTCCTAGTTGTCTATCCTAATGTCCATTTTCTCTCTCCCTCAAGTCAGTTGAAAATTCCAGGGTCTCTTGCAGTTCAGAAAGGACAGGTTGCAATATAAGAGAATTGGGGGGGGGTGCTTGCTTTTTTCCCCCCAGACAAGAGTTCTCTGTGTAGCCCTGCCTGACCTTGAACTCTTTCTCTGAAGACCAGGCTGGCCTAGAACTCAAGAGATCCATCTGCTCTGCTCTCAAGGGCTGGAATTAAAGGCATGTGCCATCACCACCCAGCTGAGATAGAAGAAACAGGACACCTGGCAAGATTTTTAACAGAGCCATTTTTTGTTGCTTTGTTTTTGTTTCTTATCTTCCCTCCTGTTGTCTGGAGTAACCTTTAGGTCTCTTGTCAGCCACCCTGGCTACAGGGTACTCAACATACACAAACACTAAAATGAAAAAATGTTTAAGAGTAAGAAAGATGTCTTGGCAGTAAAGAAGAGCACTTGCTATTCTTGTAGAGGAACCAGGTTTGGATCCCAGCACTCACATGGCAGCTCACCACTGTCTATAACTCTATTCCCATAGGATCTGAAATTTTCTTTTGGCCTCCACAGACACTGCATGCACATGGTGCACAGACATGCATACAACAGGCAAAACAACCATACACACAAAATAAAAATACTTTTTCCAATATGCTACAGAGAATTAAAGAAGACAATCCTGATCTGAATCGCTTCCCTTCAAGCTTCCTTTAGGATGCTTTATGTTGTGATACCACTAATGTGAGGTCAGTTACAGACAAATTAATTCCTAAATGATTTAGGATCCAACAATAAACAAAACCAAATGAGTATTCTAAGGTATTAGAGGAGGAGAGGGTAAGAATTATGTTTTTATTTCTGATGTATTTGCAAAATAATGCCTAACATGTCTATAAAGTCATTTAGTAATTAATCTTTTCAAATAATACAATTATCAAGACAGAAGGAAAACAGCACTACTACCTTATCTATCATTATTATGCTCGATTCTTGGTATTTACCAACATAATTCTTAAAAAAAAGAATGAAAATCTAAATGAGAGTGGGAACCTTTTGGTGTAAAAGGCAGGAATGACTTTCTTGTAACTTCTTGGAGTTTTTCTGTCGCACTTCAGCTTCCTTCAAGTGGTATGTAAGCGCCTTGTGAAGATACACGTTCTCTTTGAAAACATTTCTCCCGGCACTGTTCAACTGCCTGAAAGATATGTAGATTTAAGAACCCAAAATATAGGCCCAAGATTCTTGTATGTGGTGGGGGGCAGGAGGGTGAGTCAGGGTTACTCTATGTAGACCAGGCTGGCCACAAAATCACAGAGATCCATCTGTCGCTACCTCTAGAGTGCTGGAATTAAAAGTAGGCATCACCACACCTGGCTCATGCCTAAGTACTAGAGAACAATGTCAGCTTTATCCTCCAAACATTATACTGACCACCACTAGGCCGGGTAGGTGAGTTTGGGGGAGAGCAGAACACCGGACACATATGACACTACCACAATTTAGCCTATGAGTAACTACTCAATAGGTAGATGGTGACTTTGTGACTAAGTTCTTCCTCAGCAATAAGGAAAAATCTATGTGTTAGCTGGCCACTATTGTACAAGTTGTTTGACAACTTGAGCTATAGCAAGAACCTGTCTCAAAAAAAAAAACAAAAAAAAACCCTAGGAATAGTGGCATCCCTTTAATCCTAGCTATTCAGGTCAGGAAGCTGAGCAGGAGGCTGACAAGTCCATGCCTGCTTGGGCCACCTATCCTGTACAAGGCTGGCCTTAGCAATTAAGCAAGACTATTTCAAAAAGTGAAGGGAGCTTTGGGGTGTAGTGCAGTGGTAGAATGGATGTGCACGCCTGGTTTTCAATCTCTAGCACCTCACACGCAGTGATGTGGCACCAGTTTCCCATGCCCTCCTCTATCCATGTCATACGATGACCTATAGAACTCCACGGTCACAGAGGTACAAGATGGAAGCAGCCCAAGTTCCTGCATCACCACCTGAAGAAAGCTGCCAGACTCATCATTACATTAACAGGAAATAAACCATCGAGACCTGGGGTTCACTGTTAACATAAACACACTCTAGTGTTATTACATAAATATATATATATATAATCTGACAATTCCATAAAGTTGCTCAATGGCCCTACTTTAGGTGTGTTTGGAATGGCCTCACTGTGCAGTCTAGGCTGGCTTAGAATAGGTGACGCTCCTCCCTCAGCCTCCTGAGTACTGGGATTATTTTAAGTGTGTGTCACCATATCTGGATGGCCTATTTTTTTTTTCATGAAATTTATTTTCTTAAGAATTCTTCCAGGGGCCTGGCGGTGGTGGTACACGCCTTTAATCCCAGCACTTGGGAGGCAGAGGCAGGCGGATCTCTGTGAGTTCGAGACCAGCCTGGTATACAGAGCTAGTTCCAGGACAGGCTCCAAAACCACAGAGGAACCCTGACTCGAAAAACCAAAAAAAAAAAAAAAGAATTCTTCCAGGGGCTGGAGAGATGGCTCAGCGGTTAAGAGCATTGCCTGCTCTTCCAAAGGTCCTGAGTTCAATTCCCAGCAACCACATGGTGGCTCACAACCATCTGTAATGAG